ACAGCAGCCAAACGACATATACCCTTGACCCAAAAAAATCGAACCCAGGTCACCAATTGCCCAGGCCACACCGACAATAGCCAACATCAACCCAAGTCCCAGACCATCCACTGCCAGCCACACCGACTGCCTACACCTCAATCGCCTCAAAAACCAGCAACCCCTCATCAAATCGACAGCTACCCACAAACCCAAACGCAGCCATTCAACCAAAAACCAAAAAAACAGCCCACTGTTCAGCCTTCGACCAACCCAGCGTCCAGGCAGCACCAAGCTTGCGCTCAGGCAGTCCCCGCGCCAGTCTATCACGCCTTTGTGCTTTGCGTTCTTCGTCTTAGTGTCGTCATCTCTTCGCGCCACTGATTTCTTTTTTCTAGGGGTGTAGCATCTAGGACCTTTTTAAGAGGGGTCGGATCCTTTTTTCGTTGATATGCTCTTGATGCAGTAGATCACTTATTCATCTTTATTGCATTTCTGGACACCGTGACCTGTTATTTGGGAGCTTTCTAGACCTTTATCTGTTGCTATTATTCGACTGGAGGTATATTATTCTCCCTTATTTTGTCTCTCTATTTATCTTAGAGTTTTGTCACGGGTGCCCACGTATTGTTATTGTAATGATTACTAGTGAGGAATTTGAGACCTCCACTGTTGAGATCTCTGTTGTTAGTACTTCCACCTAGAATGTACCTCCTGGTTCTCGTTAGTGTGATTATTGTGGCTGACCAGGCCATCTCAGGGCTACTTGCTAGAAGTTCTATCCGGAGTTTAAGCCACCTCCTCGCAGCCGTACTGCTGCTATTGTTGAGGTACCACCATCTACTACCGCTATTCCTGCTACTGCTGCTGGCATTTTGCTGTTTTTACTTATACCTTTTTGTGTAATCGTACACCGACTCGTGTTCTTCAGTGTAGGACTCTCTTACAGGTCTTATTCTCTAAGCGGACACTTTTTTAGGTCCCCCCTCGTGTTTTTGGCTCTACATGTTTTGTTCAGGATCAATCTCCTACTCACCATAAGCTTGATGATAAAGTGATTCGTTGTGTCTTTATAGGCTATTGTCATCAATCTAAAGGGTATCGGTGTTATGATCCTGTCAGGCGTCGTATGTATCACAGTCTAGATGTTACCTTTCTTGAGCACATTCCTTATTTTTCCTCCAATCTTGTGCCCCTCCAGTTGATGATACTCCTTTTGATTTTCCGTTACTATAGAAACCAGAGCCATTGATCACTATCACTACAAACTCATCAGTCTCTCCTCCTCCAGAGCCACTCGTCCTTGGTAGTACAGGGTCACCAGTCTCTCTTCCTTTGGAGGTTTATGTTCGTCGCTCTCGCTCTTATCCCTCTGCTGATGTCCCTTCTACCTCAGGCGATGTAGGTAATATTTCTCAGTTCGTTGAACATATTGATGCACCTGTTGTTAGTACTGATGAGATTGCATGTAATGAGCCAGTTACTTTCCCTGATGAGACATTGTCAATGAAAGATGATGATTTAGGGCGTCGTTATCCGCAGCGTGATCGTCGTCCAATTGTTCATTATGGTTGGACCGCCAGGACTTTATATCCGATCTCTGCTTATGTTTCTTATAGTGATCTTTTTCGTACATTTTGAGCTTATATTATGGCCTTATCAAATACGCCGGTTCCTCGCTCTGTTTCAGAGGCTATGCGGGAGCCCTAGTGGGTTCTTATCATGCAGACGGAGATGGACGCTCTTTAGCGTAATCATGCATGAGATCTTATCTCTTTACCTTCAGGAATGAAGGTTGTTGGCTGTCGCTGGGTTTACACCCTGAAGTTTCTTACAGATGATACTATTGATCGTCACAAGACTAGGCTTGTGGCAAAGGACTTTACTCAGGTACTAGGTCGTGATTTTGGTGCTACCTTTGCCCCCGTGGAAAAATTGACTATTGTTCGATTGATTATTTCTCTGGCTGTGGATTACTCTTGGCCTCTTCATCAGTTGGATGTGAAGAATGTATTTTTTCACGATAATCTAGACGAGATTATTTATATGGATGCACCACTGGCCTTTCGTGGTGAAGGGGAGTATGTTGAAAAGGTACGTCGACTGTTTAAGTCTCTCTATGGACTGAAACAGTCACCATAAGCTTGGTTCTCTCGCTTTAGTGATGTAGTTGTAAGTTTAGGGTTCACCAGATGTCATTCTGATCAAACCTGCTTCATTCGACAGAAAACTTCTGAATAGTGTGTCATCTTTTTTGGTGTTTGTTGATGATATTTATTATTACTGGAGATGATGTTTCTGGAGCTGTACAGGTCAAGGTAGACCTTGAAAAGGCTTTCGATGTGAAAGACCTTGGATTTCTACGATATTTTCTTGGGATTGAGGTTGCCCGTAGCAACAGGGGTATTGTTCTTTCTCAAAGAAAGTATATTATGGATCTTCTCTCAGACACTGAGATGCTAGGGTGTAAACCAGCATCATCACCCATGATTTCAAACCTGAAACTTACTGCTGAAGGTGAGGAGTTGAGAAATTTAACTGTCTATCATAGGTTGGTAGGTAGACTTATCTACCTAGCCAACACTAGAGCAGACATTTCATTCGTTGTCAGCCGAGTTAGTCAATTCATGCACAGCCTCATCTTGATGCAATTTATCATATTCTTCGGTACCTCAAGTCTTGTCCTGGACTTGGGTTATTCTACGCATCAGGATCTCAAACTAATTCTCTAGCCTGTTATTCAGATTTAGAGCATGTGACGGTCGATCTACTACGGGCTTCTGTGCTTTTTGAGCGACTTATCTTATCTCTTCGAAAAGCAAGAAACAAACAGTTGTCTCTCGTTCGTCAGTAGAGGCAGAGTATCGGGCACTGGCACTGGCACTTGGCACATGTAAGATTATCTGGCTACGATCGATTCTTGGTGAGTTGAGATTTCCAGTGACTTCTTCATCTACATTATATTGTGATAATCGATCTGCTATTCAGCTCGCTTCTGACTTTGTATTACATGAGAGGACGAAGCATATAGAGATTGATGTTCACTTTCTTCGGGAGAAGGTTCGTTGTGGTATGGTCACTCCATTGTTTGTAGGGACCAGTAATCAGGTTGCAGATGTTTTCACCAAACCTGTCACTCTATCCATTCTCCAGGACTCCGTTGTCAAGCTTGACTTAGTTTATATTTTTGCGCCTAGCTTGAGGGAGAATGTTGGAGTATAGTCTAGCTTATTAGGGTTTCTTTTCCCTTTTTTGCCCTTACTATAACTTTATATTTTGCCTAGACCACAAGAATGTTTAGGTCACTTTGTTTTATTATTTGACTATATATACGGGGCTCTACTCTTAGTTTGAGTATCCCTTTACACTCACAGCTATCTCAAGTGATCCACTTTAGCATAAAGACTACTAGATGCTCCTACGGGTAGAAGAAACATCACTATCACCCTACGCTTCTCAAGGAATAATCTCTTTGGGATTCCTTGTTGCAAACGAGCATTTGGCAAGCAATTATGAGGATGGCGGATGTGCCACAGATTGTGTGTTCAAGCAATCTGACAGAACCAATAGCTGCGCCTCTTTGCGTCCCCATTCTCTTTACTTTTTCGAAACTATAAGAAAGTTTTAGTTTTTGTTTATCATATTCTAGGACAGGTAGAATTAATTTGGCTATTTTGATTTATGCCATCACTCAAAGTAACTTTGGCATGGGACAAAGAGATTTTAAGATTGACAGCCGTACAGTCTATGCTAGATATGCCAATTATTTCTATAAAATAAGGGGATCAGACAAGGTTTCACACTCAAGCAGGAAGAAGCCGCACTTTGGGCTTCTGCTAAGGGTTTTTATGTCCTGCACAATTGTTTAGACTATCTAATAGTGTGTAGCACAGCTTCAAAATGCTTCCATCTTTTTTTGTTACAGTCAGTTCATCACTTAAAGACATCCCTCTGTTTTATCACTACCTAGCCTAGACTCCAGTTGATAGCGGCCTAGTCTGATCTTATTCGTTTTTTGATTGGCATAGCAGATATAACTCATTCATATTTCCTTAATTTGCTTGTCCAGTAGGGTCTAGACACTAGTGTTAGAGCCTTTCCCCTTTATAGAAGGTTGTGGATTCCATAGAGATGTTGAAACCTGGAATGCAGCGACAATATACTCAAGAAATTAATCCCAATCTTCAAAATTTGTGAAATCACAAAATGATAATTAACTTGGTCAGTCAGCTCTCTCATCAATTTGGTGATGAAAGGCTAATGGGCAGACAAAGAATCACGTGTGGAAGATCTATCTTATAGAAAGCATGCCAAAAATACTACTCAAGTCATGGCTCACTTTAAGGAAACAAGGATGAGCAGATCTTTTGAATGTTGTGGAGTTGGCAACCAAGCAAACTTACACATTTGTTAAGGCATGAAATTCACGAGTGTCCAAACTCAACTCAACTAAACCTTTTAGCAATATCAGAGGGCAACTTGGCTCTCATTTCGTGATTTTACTTTATTTTGGGCAGACCATTAATGTAGTAAAACCACATACTACTTTACCTTCCGTAACATCACAACCAACATTACATAAAATCTTCCCATTCCCCTAATACAATCAGCAGTGCCAATCTAGATTTTGGCTTTTATAATTTCTGGCAGATGGCTAAAACATATTAGACAGTTCCCCCTCATGCTACCTCCAACAGATTATTAATCATCCACATAAACATCCGAATTCAAACTAATTTTATGAACTTTTACAGTAGGATTATCAGATATAAGACACATATTCTAGAAAAATGAAGAAAAGATTGCTATAATAGGAAATACTGTCAACATACATAAAACCTATTCTTTTTTGTGAGTAGAAGACTTAAAGTGATAAATCATAATAGTATCAAGTGTAATACCCAATAATTCTATTAAATAACAAGTAGTATGTCCCCTATGATTTTGGAATAGTTAGAGAGCTGACTGTAAAAGATTACGATTGTAGAGGATAATATCTCAAAATGTGGAATTTGTCAGATTCATATATTTGTAGCACCCACACTGCATTTTGTGAACCCAAAAGTCAAGATAAAGAAATTTACATTTTGAAGCCTTTCATACTCCTGCTGGCTGAATTTAGTGATTTCTGTTTGTTCACCGAGAGCTGCTTGAAGTCTCCAAACCTAAAGTCGAACAGAATTATATAAAAACAATGGATGAGGAGAAATAGAATTGTAAATTAAATAGTTGGCATTGGCCAGTTTCTATTGGAGTGGAATTAACAGAAAGAATGGGACTTGGGGAAAAGTAAAAATAACATAACAATTTTATTTCCCAAAAACTAAAATGGTAAATTTCGAAATAATAGCTTAAAGAGAAAACTGAAATGCCAAAAACAACTATTTGAATCATGATTACCTCCTCAGCAAGATCCTTCTTAGGCATTTTCTTCACTATTTCAGGAGGGTAACCACAAAAAGTGTTATAACTACATAGTCAATAACAAATACACAAAGTCAGCAAGTAAGGCTACAGGTGAAACCCTCTACAGTGTTTCCTGTAAATTCTAAAGATATGATATTGAACATAACGGCATTTTGATGCACTCATGATTTGTAATTCCTTATAAAATTCCATGAAAATATGAAGGACAATTATTTAATTTGAACGGATGAAACACAAAGAAGAAATAAAACAAGTTTACAAAGTTCAACATTCTGCTACCCAGTTCAATTCTTCATCCATTGCACAATCATCTGAATGCTTTCAAGATCAAGTTTCTTACATACATAATTTTCAACATCAAAACTTTGCATGGACTAAGTAATCGAAAGTACATCACTGTAGGTGCATAAGGTCTGCAGACATGCTGGTAACATGCTTCTCAGGTCGACTTTTGCTGAAGATGATAAGAAGAAAAACAAGAACAAAAAGAAAGTGTAACAAGTATTTTTAGTTTAATAATCCTTGCAGTTTTGACAAGTTCTCTGAGTTCCTCGCCTTTTGGATCTTCACTATTAGAGACATGCCCACATATATTGTACAAGGTCAAAAAAAAAACACAAAAAAAACATGTTTGCAACCTGCACCCATAAAACCTAAAGTCAAGGTAACAGTTCTTACCCAGAGGTCCCACCATGGAAAAATCGGGCTTGTTCCTCCCGACTTCCTTCATCAATGGACCACCAACCGAGTAGCCTGTTTGTAGAAATTGTCCAAAACCACAGTATCACTGCATAGTATTTGGACAGTATTGAATGCTCATGTGATTTAGCAAGTGCACAGTATTTTTTTCTGATGGATGTAATAAGTCATCACCTAGAGCCATGGTGCAAGAACCCAAAACAGTCACGAACTCTTGAAGAAAACATAAAATATATTCCTGTGCCAACTCCACTGTGTAGTAAAAGAACAATTTTCTCCACCAATCTCGAGCCAGCAAACAGGACCCCAACTCCATGTAACAGAAAAAGAGGAGAGAACAGAATAGGAAGAGGGATATATCTAGCACCAGCAGGTGTTCCCTGAAATTCGAAACCACTAACTAATTTGTTGACAAGACAGTTCAAGGAATTCACCTCTCCTTCAATAAGTAGCCATGATAGCCACAAGAGTGTAAGTTGTAACATACCTCCAGCCGCATACAGAGGAGGACTTGGAAACCAATAATTGGAATTTTCATAATATGGCCGCCAATGTCTTGCAGACCACACATTCTATCCTGGGACTGATCCTCTGAGGAAACCATTAATCCACTGTTCCAGTCAAGATATCTAATTGTCGCAGAAGATGAGCTGGCTTCTCGTGTTTGAAAATTTCTATGAATCACTGGATTAGACCACTTTGTACAAACAAGAAAGGCAAAGCACTCTGCAATGCTGTACAACCATCATGCAATGTTGGTAACATTTACCACTTCTGTCATGTAAAATAATGAATAAAAAATAATGTGACAGTAAATCACATGAACTATACCCGTAATTTATGAACAAGTCCCACCAACTAAGAGAACTTACATCACCTGCAATATTCGCCATATATCAGATACCAGTGAATTATTAAAATAAGGATTATTGAGCCTGTTGACAAAATATTTTTCTCAGAAAAGATTAGTATTAGTGAAACAAAAAATAAAAAATAAAAGAGAAAATATACGTAGGACAAGCACAAGTACAAGGTATCCTCCATGGGCATTACGGAACAACAAAAAAGGAATGAAAAACAACAAGTATACATATGTATAAATGATAAATAAAGCCACACATGCACATTCTTCCGGGAATGATTCAGCAACCACATTCATCAGAAATAAATACCATCATTAAAAAATCGAACTTGAATGACATTAAAAAGATAGAAGGGAAAAATAATGAAAAGCAAAAGAAAGATGGAGCATCCTACAATCCCATTAAGATTAAGCAGCAAGTTGAAAAGCCTGCAAAAATATGAAACACAACCTCTGCAAACTCCTTTACAGGAAACACCAGAAAGCAACTAAAGAAACAGTCACTAATTGAGATACTTAAGTAGTCTCTTTCTTAAATGTTTCCTCAAGAAGCATAAAATCCACGAAAAAAAGGAAATGTTTCAAAAATATTTATGGGAACAGAATGGAAACAAAGAACAAGTTTGGAAATTTGTTTCCATAACATTGGCCGAAACACCTAAAAACATCCCAACATTGGAATTTCTATATACCATCATTTATTCATTTCAATTTTCTTTCAGTCGTTTCAGTAGAAACTAAATGAAATTTGATCCTTGCAACCTATACATAAGCAAGCGATGACAAGTCATCCAACCCTAAATGAACAAACACAAACAAAAGACAACCAAGCATTACATCTTAAGTCTTAGCTACCTATGAGCCTAATTACAAATCACATAGCTTGCCACCCCACCATAATGCAAATGAGAAGAATTCCCTCAGAATCTTTAGTACCCCAAGTACAAAAAAGATGGTAAGAAATAAATTCGATTCCCATAATTCTTCAACATGACTGATGATCCAATTTCAAGTCAACAAGAATAGAGAGAAGTGAAATCAAATTCAAAGTATCTCTATCATCAAGATTTCTTCAAAATCCAACATCCCAACAAAACAAATGAGAATTAGGGAGAATTTAAAAGCAATAGAAGCATCATGAACATGAGAGACACAATATAGCACGACGATCCATATGTGATAGCAAAGACTATCTACCTAAACATCCTTCCAAAATCGGACTCTCTGTCCATTACCCACAACTAGGTCTGGCAATTTCAAACATGATCCCATGAACCCAACACGAATTCAACAAGATATTAGCATATTTGGATATGGTTTTTTAATGGGTTTGGGTAATAAACAAGTGGACCCAACAAAACCACTTAATAAACGTTTGGTTTTCAGATGAAATACCTTAACCCGTCCATCGCCAACCCATTAAAATTTGAGTATAAAAACAAAAAACCCTAACCCACCTATTACTCTCAAGATCGTTTGTCTCTCTCTTCTCTACCTCTCTCCAGTAGAGCATTATCAAAGCTCTCGTATCATTCTCTCACTCTCTCTGTCTCTCTCTGAATCTTGCATTATCTATAATCTCATCAATCTCACCCTTTGTCCCTAGCTCTCCCAAATCTCTCAATCTTACTTTGCTTCTGACTCTCTAGTTTCTATTGGTGAATGGTGGTGGTTTGATGGTTATTGTGGCTTGATCGGAGGTGTTGCACTGTGGGTATGGTGGCAGGTTTTTTTTGTTTTTGATTGTGAGTGTGTGGTGGCTTGGTGGGTGGTGCCACTAGTGGTAGATTCGCTGTAACACAAAACAAGTTGCTTCTAATCATTGGCTTATTTCTTGTTTTTCAATTGGGTACGCAAAGAATTTAGTAAGTCTAGCCAGCCTCAATGATACAATTTTGATGTCTTTTGTTCCTCATCTAGTTCGTTCAATGATTCGATTTTGTGTGTTTTTCTAGATTCGAGTTTATTGTATGCGTATTAACCCGACATGACCCATTTATTAAACAGGTTACATGGGTCGTGTTGTGTAACCGTTTAAATAAATGGGTCATGCCCATGTTTATGAATTGAACTTGTCAAATAATCAGTTGTGTATAAGTTGAGTTAATTTTGACATTAATCCGTTAAAACAAAACACGAATCCGCTTGGCACCACCCAATTGATAGGCCTACACACAACAAATTCAATATGTAAGAAATGCAAAAAACCCCAAGAAATGAATTTCCAAAGTCATCATAAACTTCTCCTCTCAATCTCATTAGCATCTCATCTATTGACTTGCAATTCACAATTGTTCTTGATAACCAGAAGTGACAACGACGTTTGTTCTAAAGGAATCTTCAGTCATTTCCCAACTAAAGCTACAATTCTTGCCAAAAAGTTCTGGACTAAAATATCACCTTTAGTTTTAGATTCAAGAATCGTAAAGAGAGCTTGTATCTAACATCGAATGATTAAAATCACCCAAAATTAGTTTATATATTTGAGGGGCATCTCCACTTATTGCCTTCATCACTTTCTTCCAAAAAGAAATCCCTCATCATCCTTTTAATGCCCATTGCTTCCTTTCCAAGCAGCTTAAAAAGAGATAAAAGATAGTTGGAAATACTACAAAATACAAACTAAGCTAATGTTAGCCTCCTTCCTTTTGAAATAAAAGCTCCCTTCCTCCCAACATGAAATATAATTCCCTTCGTCGAAGAATTGACAACATTTGAAAATTCTTTCACCATCATACCTGTTAGAGTTCTTATTTTCTACATTAAATCCTAAGTTACTCAGTGTAGGATAATATTGTAATTATCTTAAACATTACTTAGTTATAAATACAAAGGTGTAGGGCAACAGGGCAGCCATAACACACAACAAATTCTTCTTCTTTTTCTCTATTTCTCTACATCTTGTCAACCCTAATATCGATTTTTCTATTTCAACTTGCTATCGGATCAATTCATCTAACACAAAACAAGAGAGAAAAAAACACAACCTGAAGTTCATAAAATAAAATAAAAAAAGGTCAGTTCGTTGATGATGACGTCATCCTTTTTCGACAACAAAAGCTATAGGTAGGATCAACTATTCTTGCTAGTATTTATGGTGATTTTGGACAATTTCTTTGGGGTCATTTGGATGATGTTTTTTATTTATGAATGATTTTCAGAAAATAGGCTTGTTTTTTTTGCGATCTACTTCTCTAGACCCATCAAAGGTGTTTCGATCTCTGGTTTCTCCCCAGAGGGATGCGACTGAAGGGTATGGGTCTTCTGGAAGTGACCCATGTTGTTTGGTGGTGTGTGGGAGTGTCGTTTGGTGGATTTATAGTATTGATAGTGTCTCTGTGTAGTCTGGCCTTCACCGTAACTCCACAGTTTGTTTGTTTGAGTGTGGGTTCTGGTGTGTTAGCTTCGATAGTGGCTGGGTTGGCTTCGCAGTGGCTGATTGTTCTTCGGCTGTCGTTGATTGTGCTCCACCATTCTCCTTCTGAGTTGTTGCGTTTTTGGCTTAGATTCTTCTGCTGATGAACTTCTGCTGCCTTGTTGTGCTGTGTTGATTAGGGTTGAGTCAACTCTTGTTGAGGTTGTTGTATGTTGTTTGGGTTTGCAGAACCCCTCCTTTTTTTTTGTGTTGGTTACTGTGATGTGTTGTTTAAATTCTTGGGACTTGTGATTGATATTTGATTAGTTGTATTCGATGGCAACTCTTGAAGATAAAAAGGATATAACTGTGGATGGCTCGATTCGACTGGTTATTATGGGGATGACCTAGTTCGACAGATTATTTTTGTGAAGTTAAATAGAACCAATTATCATTTTTTATCCCATGTCATTATGGTGTTTTTACAGGCTAAAAAGAAAGTCAAGTATTTGACTGAACACCCTATTCCGGAGAAATCAATAGGTGAAGAAGACTGGTGGAGTAAGAATTCCTTGGTAATAACATGGTTATGGCTTAGTATAGAGCCATTTATGACTTCTAATGTTCAACTTCTTGATACTGCCAAGAAAATTTGAGACTTTCTTGAAGAGATGTATTCACAAGAACACAATGTGTCTAGGATCTATAAACTGTTTAAGCATAGGTTCAATACTAAGCAGGAAAATAAATCTCGGGCTAAGCATTATGGCACTTTGAAAGGGTTGTGGGAGGAACTTCTACTCTATCAGCCATTGAATGTAGACCTCGAGGTACAACGATGACAGCGTGAAGAGTTTCAGGTTGCATTATTCTTATCTAGTCTTAACTCTGAATATGGTGTGTTCAAAGTGAAAGAAATCATATAATAAACGCAGCATAATTTAAAAATAATAATTTAATTGCTCGTACCAAAATCTATTCATGTTTAATACAAACTGAGAATCCTTAGATCTATAAAAAATATTAAGGGTTACCTCTTGAAGCGTGCCTTTAACAATCTTCAAGAATTCTCAAAAATGTTGAATATTCAAATCTAAATTTAATATTTACCTCGAACCTCGCAATTGTTTAGCCTCTATCGATACCCACACGAATTGACAAACTTGAAGGAAGTACCTCAACTTTTGATGAACTAGTAGAGAGATACCTTGGCCAAGGACTCATCTAGTCATATTTCAGAAAATCACATAGGACATTCTTCCTTTAATTACTAAGGGTGATAGATTCTATTTTGCACACTCATAAGTCTTCATGCATGTCTAACTATATCCACAATACATATCCAAGTTACATGGTTAGTTTATGAATATGTTGTATAGTTAAAGCATAGAAGTCCATACACAAGACAACTATGGTGTCTCAAGTCTAAGGATCAGTTATATAACTATAACTTTAGGATTTAATATTTACAAGTATGTAAAACTCCATATGAAAAATCATATGTTAGTCAATGATCACGTTCAGTGTATTTGTTCTCTAACAAGCACCCACGCACTTGCTGCAGTGTCCCTACATTAGTGACTTGAACGAGTCACCCCATATCAAATATGAATAAACATAATATATGCTAGTCTATTCAAATTACATAGTGCCCACATAGTAATCCTATGATTAAG